TCTGGTGGTGACATTGTTCGGGCTCTAACTCAGTTCGTCGGAGTAGGGTCTGTGGTGCTCAAACTCTACTGGTCTTCCGTTGTATCTTAGGAAGCAGACGCTCAAATTACACCTCAAGCACGTACGGTGAGGGGGCGAATCTGTTTTAAGGAAATTATGTGTAACACAAGCCTCAGGTTAAAATTTCAATTTCGTATTTTATATTATTGTTATATTTTATTGTAATTCAGTTTCTAAAATAAAAACTTCAGATTAACAAATTCAGTGTTAGTCTGTATTAGTTCACTANTTTCGTATTTTATATTATTATTCTATTTTATTGTAATTCTTTTTTTGATATCAAAAATTCAGTGTATCAAATTCAGTGTAGTTCTGTATTAGTTCACTAGTTATCATATTTTCTTACAACAACAACTAAAGAAGAACAACATATAGAGAATAAGTAAATATTCACAACAGAGCCAAGTGAATAAGTGGCATTCATGAAAATGAAATTAGGATGCAATCCTCCAATTTTATTGTTTGCAATTAGGTCTATACATTGGGGGAGTATTACGCCAATAAGCCTTTATCAAATACTGACTTTTTAATAAAAATCAAAATTAACTGAAAATCACAATGCAAACTAAGAGAGAAATAATTTGCGATCAAGGGATGGGAAAATCAAAACACATTTTATTCTCCGAGTCCACAATCATCTCAATTTTCCCATCTCCACCACTACCATTATAACCAACTTCATCAATATTGCTACCACCTCCATACTTGATGCCACCATTCATCACTAAGCATCACCACCACCACCACCCTTAACTAAGGGTCACCACTACGACAAACAATTGCCACCAAGCACCACCACCACTACCTCCAACAAGCACCTATTAGTTTGATGTCGTTCGAGTAATATTTTGTGAACAAATTAGTATAGTTGATGGTTCAAGTATAGCGAGACACATTTTGTGATGTGATCAAAATATATCATTCTCAATCGATACATAAAGTCGGATTCTTTATGCTGATAAGATTGAATTGTTCTTATTGAGATTTATTGAGACACATTTCAGTCCTTTAGTCGATGCGGACTGAGTAATAATTATCTAATATCGTTGTTCAGGGATGTCGTTTAACAACAATTTGCCTAACCGACCTTGAGCTAAAATATTATGACAAAATAAATTAAATGTTTTTAAAAAAATTATATAAAAAATTAAAACAAACTAATTTAGTTTTTTGTCTTTTAAAATGATTCAAGCTGATCCGTCGGCATTGCCCAACTTGCTTATATAAAAAGAGTTTTCATAATATTTTAGTTCTTGGTTATTAACCAGGTTACAAATGTCAAAAGAAATAAGTTAGTATCCTCTCTCATGATTATATTGTTAATTATTTTTCTTGTCTCTTTTCAGGTATAATTGAAATAGTGTGCTTAACAAGCAAAGAAGAAAAAGGAAGATAGAAGAAGGCCAAGTACTAACGTAGATATGACATTCGGCGAGTTCTTAGTTTTCCTCTTGTATTGTGATTTCTACTATATATTGTTACATTGAGGACCATGTAGAAATTTAATTTGGAGGTGGGAAATAATGGGTTATCTTGTATGATAGAGTCGGCATTACTGTATTTTGTGTCATAAAATTTCTTTCATTCTTATGATTCATTAACTTGTTTGTAAAAATTAAAAAATATTCAACTTTTGATGAAGCAAGTTAATGAAACACAAGAATAAATAATAATTTATATTCTTCTTCTTTTGAGTGTATGTATTAAACATTCTCAATTGTACCGATACTACTTGAATCAAATTTTATACTTCAACTCTCAAAGTACCTTTCCCAAACAATAACCAATACCAAATATGTCAATATAATTTCTCATCACTCTTATTGAAAGGTAAACTGAACAAGGTGAGATCAGGCTTATTTTCATTTTCAGTGGTTGACACTAATTCTTTGGATTAGTCATGAATAATTTGTCGGTCTATACATGCTCACTACAACAAAAAGAGCCATTCGCAACATTAAAAAGGCAACATTTGTTGATAAATGTTGCCAAAAGGATTTTTCGGCAACATTTTAGGAAGTGAATGTTGCATTAATTAGTATAAATGACTTTTAGCAACGTTTTTCAGAAAAATGTTGCAGTAGACCCCTTTTCGCAACGTTTGCTGAGTGTTGCGA